TGGGTTACTCGGTAGATGTGTTTTTGTTTGTTTCTTTGGCCTTTGTCACTCCTGACGTTCGTTACACCTAGTGTTTGTACTGCGTTTGTGAAAAACTATAAAAAAACTATAAAAAAAGACTCCCTCTGTGTCCCGTGTTCCCTTCTCCTAGCCCTAGTTGTCCTGTCCTCCCCAATCCCTCCTTCCCTTTCACTTTGTTGCGGTCCAACCCTAGACTGGATCGTAACACAACTCACCACCAGGTGGTGATCAGTTGACAGCTCAGTTCCTCTCTTCACCCGAGTGTCCAAAACATACGGACGCAGATCAGATGATACAATTACAAAATCGATCATTGAACTGCAGCCTAGGGTACTCTGGTGCTAAGTGCACTTATGAACACCCTTATGTTCGAACATGGTGCTCCTTATGGACAAACTGTGGTTAGCACAGAAGTCAAATAACTGATCACCGCTCTGATTCCAATCGGGCAGGCCATTCCCCCCCCAGTCACAACTTTCCAGGTTTCACTGTCATTACCCACATGAGCATTAAAGTCCCCCAGCAGAACAATGGAGTGCCCAGCACCTTACAGCACCCCTTCAAGGGTCTCCAAGAAGGCCAGATACGTTAAATTGGCGTGCAGTGTGTACGCACAGGCAACAGTCAGAGCCCTACCCCCGACTCAAAGTTTAAGGGAGGCAACCCCGGTGAACGAGAGCGTCAACTCCAATGCACTGGCACAAAACCCAGGGGGCTATAAGTAGACCCACACTCACCCGGCATGTCTCACCATGGGCAACTCCAGAGTGGGATAGAATTCATCATCTCACCAGGAGTTTGGTTCTAAAGCCTGAGCTGTGCCTTGAGGTGAACCCAACAAATCTTGTCAGTATCGCTCTCTCCCCTGCACCCACTCGGGCTCCTTTTCCTACCAGAGAGGCTACATTCCTTGTGCCGAGAGCCAGTTTTGGTAACCGGCGATCGGTCCGTTGAGGCACCAGCCTTCGACTGCCGCCCGATCTATACTGCACCCTGCCCCCACAGCTCCTCCTACAGGTGGTGGGCCCACAGGGGGACGAGCCCATGTTACTCCTTCGGGCTATGCCCAGACGAGCCCCATGGGTGGAGGCCCAGCTGCCTGGCGCTCACATACGAGTTCCAGCTCCAGGGCGAGGTCCCGGTCTCCCCAATCCGGGCAGGGAAACCATCCTCCTTGATTTTCTTCGCCATAGGGGTCAATGTGAACCACACTTGATCATAGGTGGGCTGCCAGACTAAGTTGCCTTTGGAGACCCTACCAGGGGCAATTGCTTCCAACAACATAGTTCCTAGGATCATAGGGGCACACTAACCCCTCCAACACAATAAGGTGGCGATCACTCTGTAGCTAAGACTGAGGAATATGATCCAGGTTCTGCCCCACACTCAGTGGAACAGGATGGATATTGGTGAATGTGATCAAGCAGAATGTAGCATTCATCTGGAAATTTTGACTTGTGTAAAGAGGATTTTTGTGGTTGTGTATATACTCCGTAGTATATTAACTCTGACTGAAGGCTCGTTTTCTTGTATGATGCTGGTCCCATGTATCTGTTCAGTTGCTTGCCAGCAGTAGCATTGGTGTAGTCACTTAACTGCAAGAACTGCTATACAAACCTACAGCTTTATTCCCTGCTGCAAAGATGCATGCGTACATCCCCAGACCATAAAAATAGAGGTTTTATGAACCTGATTATTGACATGCTGATGAATGGAAAAACTTGCTAGTTTAAATTGGTAATATTATGTTTCCTCCATTTTTTTTTTTCCATGACTTTTTCTGTTTGCTAGTGTAATCTGAGGTGATGCGTAAATCAGTGGATGCTGTGTGGATTCACCCATATGGTGGCATCATGAATTGTTGCTGGTGTGACTCGGTTGTGACTTAGCTGAGCACATGGCTTGAGGTTTAATGGTCGATCCACAATATGCATGTGTCCCTGGAACTTGAGTGAATCTGTAATCAACATGTCGAAAGACTGCCATCGGCCCTCTCAGACTGTTATTATCCAGCGCGTGCAAGACGAAGACCGTTCCTGATCCGCTGACGTGATTAATGCCTTGTTATACTGCACAACCCAGCAGGGCATTGTGAGGGATGGTGAATTATCGCTTGGCAGAAGCTTAGGCCCCAACATCTGTCTATGTGTCGTACAGAAGCGTTCTGGAGAGCGCCGAGAAATGTGATCTGCGATCTGCTTTGTTTCCTTTTATGGTCTTTGTAGTGGTCTGCGGACTTAATGCTGTGTAGACTCCGTACTGCTCTTAAACTGGAAGTTTTGGTTTCTTTCAGCATTTTTACAGCTGCAAAAACTTGTCTTAATCTGACACTTCTGTACCTCTGTAATGTGACACTTCAATCTGTGCAAAAATAAAAGCCCGATCACCTTTAATCCCTTTTTTATGGAGTGACTCATTGCTGACTTCACATCTAATAGTTTTTTCCTTCTCCTCCCTTTTGTTATGGAGATAACAACATTACGAGTCTGTCCTGTAGGTACAGATAGTGCAGCCAAAAGCCATTTCATCTCCTCGTCGATATAAAGGATTTATGGTATCAAGCTCAGTGCTCATCTGCTGTAAACATGGTGTAGTTCTTGGGTTCCCGATGGAAGTTAATCAAAAGTAAACTGAGCAGGGCTTCTGATAAAAGATTGCTTTTGATATTGTTTTATGCAGAACATATCTGGAGCCCCTGGTACACGTTCTGAGCTTGTACTAAAAAGGAATGTGGCGGTCATCGTTTGGGCTCCTCCACCGCCTCTACTTGCCCACATTGCTGCACTCGTCTGCTTCCAAAAGGCCCTAAGCTCAAGTCTGCAGGGTTCTGGTTCTGTAGAAATACAGCTTTAACGTTCACTTGGAAAAACGATTCACTCTCTTCTAACACTTTCTCTGTATTCAGATGTTTCTTTCATGTACCCTCAATTGCACGTTGGGATAAATGTTCAATGGCTGATTGTCCAATACAGTGATCTCCTTTATTTCAGTAGTTTTGTCTTTAGCACTGGTGCTGCTAATTGAATACTGATACAATCTAAATATTGGCCTGAAATTTTGCCCCGATTGACACCTTTGACCCATGTGTTAATTCTTAAATGAATATCATCCGATACTGTGATGTTGACCGGTACACCATCCATCTCTAAGCTTGTGGGTTTTATGTACCTCTTTCGGAAGTAAGTGTGTGTGTGTGTGTGTGTGTCTCACATTCCTGCTGTCCCTTTCTGCTGCAGGAGCTGCTGGGTGTGCTTCGCCACAGACGAGGACGATCGCACGGCAGAGTGGGTCCGTCCCTGCCGATGCCGTGGATCCACCAAGTGGGTGCACCAGTCGTGCCTGCAGCGCTGGGTGGATGAGAAGCAGCGGGGCAACAGCACCGCCCGTGTGGCGTGTCCGCAGTGCAACGCAGAGTACCTCATCGTTTTCCCAAAGCTGGGTAGGCGGGGCTTCATCCATGGCCGAGACCAACTCCTTAAATGGGGCAAGATTTTTGCAAATTTTTTTTCCATCAACAAAAACGTGATGTATGACAGACACACATCAAACAATGTGGAAATTACCGGGATTACAAGAAGCTATGGTAGCTTTGAAAACTGGACTTTATATGTAGTATATGGGTATTTACAATGAATTCTTTTAATAGAAATACTACCTATGTCATTAAAATGTAGTACTTTTCACAAGAAATTGGATATTGAATAAAACAATGTAAGCAGAATCGGAAATTGCAGCGTAGGGTTTTTTAAGGATACTCATTTGGAAAGTCTTGGTTCTGCTTTCCGTATATTTACTCTATAGACAAAATTAACTAGTGGAAGTCCTTCGCTGGCTTATTTCTCTAATGTAGTTTTTCCACTCAGGAAAACCTTTTCAAAAATGGTTAGTGATTTCTGGTAAAATGTCTTTGTTTGTTCTGAGTACTTTTAAGTATCTGGAGTGAATGTTGGCCATAGGAGTCATGGCTCATCTCCAAACCTGTGCAATGCTTATCCCCCCCCCAAGGTGACGCTTGGGGTCATTCAGGGAGTCATTATTTTGCTGGCAAGACCAGTGTCGTCTGTCAGATTGTCATGAATTTCTGCTGTACAACTGCTGTTTTGCAGAAGGGTGTTTTGAGTCAGTCACTCCCAGAGCAGTGATTAATTTATCATCAGCTCGGTAGACGAACTCGTTCATGACCCACAAATGTGTGTGTGGTGGAAAATTATCCACATTAACCTCAGTCGCCGGCCTGACGTGATTATTGGGTGCGACGGCTGAACCGCTGCTGGCCACGGAGAGCCTTCACCCACAGAGAACGTGCCCTGACACGATGCTCCTGCAGCTCCCACCCGCTCCTTACGCCGCCTTTGACGAGAGGCACGCCACTCGCTGTGCTGGCATCGCCACTCGCTGTGCTGGCATCGCCACTCGCTGTGCTGGCATCGCCACTCGCTGTGCTGGCATCGCCACTCGCTGTGCTGGCATCGCCACCCGCTGTGCTGGCATCGCCACCCCCATCTGTCTGTCTGCCACTCAATTCAGCAAGACGATTTGGGGAGATTTTTCAGCTCCAAGCCAAAAGCAAGCGCCTCTTGGGTAAACGATGGGCGAGGGTGATTGGCACACCCCCACCCTGACTCCGATTGGGTTAGCAGATACGAGTTGGGCAGCTGGAAGAGGTGAAGGGGGTGCAAGTAGGGTTGCAAAGGGGTGGAAAATTTCTGGAAACTTTCCATTCCATGGGAGGTTAAGGTGGGGAATTTTGGAAATATTGCAAGTTGGAAGCTTTCCTTGGGAAATAGTGGGAATATCTGGGAATTAATGGGAAAATTCCCATAATTTTGGAACCCTAGGTGCAAGGCTGCAGCATCCCAGTGATGAGCCAGCCCTCGGGGGCCACTGTCCTGTGCTGGGGGTTTCTGTAGCAGTGGCTGTTTTTAGTGCCTCTCCTACATCTAAAAATGCCTCATCGGGCGAATCACTTTACACATTTCACTGCGACCCCCCCCAAGGCTGTGCATCTACTCTCCCCTATTATGTAAATGGATCTCTGTATATAAGGTAGCCAGGATGCACAAGTTTAGCTCTCTGCTGCACAAATAACCTTGTCTCTCTCCTGAGGCTTGCGTCCTGTTATTTTGGGAAGCTCTGGGTGCCAGTCCGCTCCGCCTCCTTGACCGTGGCCAGCTGTGAAATCGCACCGTCTGCTTCCTTATTAACCTTCAAATAGGCTGGAAGGAAAAACAAACTCCACAGTTCAGCCTGGGGTGGTGACTTTTGGGGGGGGGGGGGGGGCTTTTTTTTTCCCCTTGGCCCATTTAAACAGCTGTTGAATGAATTGGATTGTTCTCCTAGTACTGAGGTCCAGGAAAGCAGAGAGCAGGTGCCAGAGGGAGTTTCTCTCTGCACTCGAGTACGAAGTTAGGCCGTGTTAAAATGCATACGTCTCTGTTTCATTCTGCTGTCTGTCCGTCTGTCTGTACGCTTGCCTTCCTCATGAATGGTGATGTGGATGCAGTGAATGGTGCCTTTTTCCACCTCCTTTGAGCCCACTCATGGTTTCGGCAGAATTAATGAAGAGATAAAAGAGCTTCTGTGAGAGTGTGTGTGTGCGTGCGTGCGTGTGTGTCTGTCACGCACGACCATCCAGCAGGGTAACCCTGGTACGGTGCGGTCTCGGCCCCCACCTGTGGGCACTGCCTGCCCTTCACCGAAATGCCAGTCTGTAACAAACCAAATGCTTCCTGTTTTTCCTGCCCGAATGTTCCTTCATTATTCCCAAGGGTTTTACACATACATCTCCCTTAATGCTCTTATTTACCATTTTAAATGTCTTCTATGGGCATTTATTTCATATGCTGTCCTGTTGAAGTGGTGTTTTTACTTGGCTTCAGCCTCAGTGGTTTACTGCTAAGCCCAAGTGCTTTTCTCTTGGACTAAGGGGACCTTTTTTGTTTTTTTTAAAACACAATGTAGACTTAACAGGGTTTTTTTTGCACTTGGTCTACTTTTTCCCAAGCTGTTAATATTGTGTTTTATATTATTGACTTTGCTGCCAAGCTAGCTGCATATGCTCTTCGTCTGAAAATGATCCTTTTTGCGAGAACGTTCACCTTGGCATTTATCTAGGTGTGTGAATTTTTTCTATAAATGAAGGGCATCTGATTGAAATCCTCAGGTTCCACTGTCCAATACATGATTTCAGAACCTAGATAAAGAAAACATTTATATCAAAACTTAAATTCATCTCTGCTCCTCAGTTTATAAAGGCATATTTTGGGAAACATTATCACAGGGTTGAAACCATGCAGGAACGAGCAGTACGTAGTATTGCAAAGCAACTTTGTCCAAAAAAATCCACTTTGCATCACATCAGTTGTTTTTTTTTAATGGTGTCTATTTACAATATCCATTATCATATTAAGTTAAATGGGAGACACTTCTCTTGCATGTAGAATTGATTCCGGAAATGTGTAGTCTTTCCTCAGAATATGCACCAGTTTTGGGCTGGGTGGAATTTCTCTGGTCATGTGTGTATTGGTAAGAATCTTGCAATACGATGCATATCGTGATAGAGGGGTTACGATTTAATTGTAAGCAAGGTGATGTTTTATACTTTTTTTTTTTTTGTTGCACACCTAATTTTACGAAACTCCATAGTATAAGAAACATACCACCATATGCATAACATCTGATTAAATGGCAAGGCTCTTGTTGAAGTTAATGCTTGTATTGCCAAATTAAGCCCACACTTTAGCTCTGTCTACTGCTGTTGCCGGTTTAACTCTTTTGGAGTCTGTATCGGTTGTAACGTTACTAGTCAGCTAAGTTTTCTAATGCTAATAGTATTGGTGTGCCCTTGAGCAATTTCCTGTCTTTACATTGTTGCGCAAAATCAGATGGCTGAGGATAGATTACAACACCGCTGTCTAGTGGTCAGGGATTGAAACACGACACAAAATGAACCGCTGTCTGCCCTGAATCTTTGCATGTACGCTTTAAAAAAATCAGTAGTGTTTCTGAGAATTGGTGCAGTATCACACAAGTTTTCTTACACTCACAGTTCTCTCTAACCTTGAATTTGTTTTGTTAAATTAGCTCATAATGCAATTAAAGTATCCCTTGTGTGTGACTGAAGTACACTTGATTATATTTCCAGCAATGGCGTCACCAGACCACCACAAACCTATTTGAATATGCAGTTATGTCATCGGATATTTGTACCTAACTCTTTGTAGCTATGCATTTTATTAATAGGTATAGGAATGCTAAACTGAGACCTGTTATGTCGAGAGTTATAAACCCAGCTCCCTCTGACATGAAGCTCCTGAAAATGGATACATCTGGTGCCTAGCACTCATTGGTCTGCTTCTTCAGAGGTTTGCGGATATATAAAACAATTCAACCACCGCTTTAAGGAAACTGATGGCATAGCCTGACCAGTATAGCAGTGACATTTCTGTGCTCTTTCCTTCATTTTTTAACCTTTAGAGGCGACTTCCTTTCCAAGGTTGCTCTTGACATGTTTGCTGTAGAGTCGCTGCGTTCCTGTGCAGTGACCGGCTTTGCCTTTTAGCTGTTACATCGGCATTTATCTTTTCAGCCCGAGTTTGTCATCCTATATAAATGGCTAAACGTTTCTGGAGCTGGTGGCTGGCCAGTTTGCATCGTGCCCTTTTTACACTGTTTGTATACTGAACCTAGTGCTTTCTGGGGTCACTATTTGCATGCCTGCTTGCGAGGGAGATGAATAATAATCGCATTTCGCATTCAAAATAGTGCCTACATCTGTGTGATTTATGTCCGGAATACCTTTCATTCAGTAATTTCCACGCTGTTTGCTATGTGCACTATGCTTAATGATTCAGCAGCTTCTTCATAAGGATCCAGAAAAGAAGCACTAAGAAGCTGTAGGTCTTCAAAGTCAAAGGGATGCTTTTTTAAATATTAGAAAAAAAGACTTTAATCATCTAATATGCTGCTTCTACAGAAGGCAAGTAGTCCAGTCCCCTGCCCTCACCTAAGAATGTTCTGGAAGCTTAGAGGCGCAACGGGGCATGTGCTTTGGATTCTAGGGTTCCGTGGGTTTAAGGGAATCTGATGGCAAGTGCTAAGATTTGTGGATATTTTTTTAATTCCTTTTTCCCTCTCCTCCCTTTCCTTTTAGCAATAAATCTAACCTACTTCACTCTGCCCTGGATGTTACAATGTGTAGCCTGGGTGAAAACGGAAATAATTCCCGCTCTGGCCTTGAATAACTCCCTAGTGGCGCGTGATCAGTCTGGTTTGCATGTGCAGGTGCATTTTTGGAGACACCACAGTCTCACAGAAGACCCAATTCTAGCCACCTTAAACTGAATGTGTTTTTGAAAGCCCATTGATCCCAATGTGTCTGTGCTACATGATTGTTGCATCCTCGAGACGGGCATTGTGCTCCATAGCAATGCCCAGCGTCTCGGGTTTCCTTTCCTTTAAAGTTTAATGTGTCCTAGTTTGCACTTTGTGGTAAGTGCCATGCCGTAAGAATATTTATACCTGTGTTCTGGAAGCTACTGTAGGGCATTAAAGTTAAAATACAAGCCTGTCTTACCCTGGTTTGCCCGTATTCCTAGTAGCTTAAGGACATTGGAACTTTTGAACTGCGATTATTAATATTCCAGTTTTACTTTACGTCGGACTCCACATACTTTCGTCATGACTATAGGCCTGGTTTGTTGGCATGGCATTAAATATCAACACAACTATACATTGGACTTGGTATTTGGTTTTAGGCCTTTTAGACTGCCATATAACTTTTCATGAGTTTTCATAATTATTAGACCCTAATCTGGGGTTCTACAGTATCTTACAACCCTAGTTCTAGCTTGATTCAATGTTAGCATTGAAAGCGCACATTAACTGTGCTTGAGTGTTGTGATTGTAGTGTTACTATAACATCGAGTTAACTTTCTGAGCTTTGACACATTGCCAAAGCGTTATTTATTTATTATTATTAGCTCATGTTCAGCAGTGTCTGTGCCCAGCCCACACATGCTTTAAAATAACTGCACATGTGTTTTCATAAAGCACTTAATCAAATCTGCCCATGTTTTCAAATTTTATTTGTTTTGCTGGTACGGCGTGAGCAAAGACAAGCCCTGGCTTGTTCGTCATGAGCAGCGCTGGGGTTACTGCACTGAAAGTTGTGCCTCTGAGGATGATTCAGGTTGTTTTTGTGGAGAGATGGGGAGTCGCCAGGCTCTGCCTGCAAAGCCATGGCGATAAGCTGCCACATCAGATTTCAAATAGATGACACAGGCTTTCCTCCCTTCTGATATAGTCGTCTGGGCCCAGAGGTGCAAGGTGGGTTATGAAAATAATTTCTGCTGAACTTTTATTAGCTGACTTTTATTCCAAGCAGTAAATGTTTCTGATTCTCTCTAACTGTATCATGGATTCTTCTGGTACAAAATACCCAACAGCTCCTGGAACAAAAGCATAAATGTCAACCGTATGCGCGTCGCCATAAACTTCAGCCTTGGCTAAGAATAGCAGTTGGATTAGGTGGAAATCAGGTTGCTGGAGCTGTAGATATTACACGATTTCCCTGAGCGGCACTGGAATATGAGTGGGAGGCAAAAGGAGACAACAGGGGTCAGCACTGCGCTTTGGCTCAAAGACAAAAATCTTCTCTGAACTTTTAGAAGCTCCTGAATCTATCGAGCCCCAATAGAGTGCAGGTTGCTCTGTGCTGCAAATCACAGCTCCGACACGGCAGGCTGGAGAGATCCCTGAAGTCTTTGAAAGTGTAGATATCTTGCCTTGAGGGAACAGGTATAACATTTTGATAGTAGATACAATAAAAAGAGCACCATGTATGTATTGGCCCAGTTTATGCAGGCTAGTCGTTCACCCGGGGCTGTACTGGTAGAGCTTGACATGAGGTTAGAAGGTCAAGGGTTTGATTGATTTGTGCTTCAGATTGATGCCAGCAGCGGTGTTTTTTTTTTTGTCTCCTGCAAGACTGAAAAGAGTTGAGGGCAGTTTCCTATTGAAACCACGTGCCTTGCACTATTCATCCCTTACTTTAGGGAAATATAGACGGGAGCTGGTTTTTAAACCTATGCACATCCTTTTTGACAGCTGTGCAGTTACCAGAAAGGACGTGTTGCACTGTGGGATATGTTTAACCAGGTAGATCATACAGACCAGCCTTCTTACCAAACAATATCCGAGAACTGGAGGAGTGGAAGCCATTGTAAGAGGTGCAGATGTCCTGCTTTGCCAGACGGTTCTCACCGTATCTCTAGAGTATTAGGTTAAATGTTTGTTTAAATAACCTCTGCTTGAATTATGGATCTCTGCAAATATTTGTAATTTGATGTCATGTCCGGTACTGACCTGGAGGTTTAGATGAGACCCAGGTGTGTTTGCTGAAGGTACTGGGCCGGTCTCACGAATAGCCCCATGGCCAGGGGTGATTCCCAGTTCTGTGCTAAAGAAACATGGCATCTGTTTCTATTACATATATGCTGCTGATGCTAAGGGCTGAGGGAGAAACTATTGAAAGGTGATCAGGAGGTTAATGTGATTTCAGGTGTTATCGGTCCAAACTGGAATACCATAAGGGCCTGGCCTGACAAGCCTGGGGGGGGGGCAATTCCACCTCTATCTCCCCCCACCAAATAGAAATATATGAATATAAATGCCTAATTTTATTGCAAAGTTATCGTTTAGCTATTTCCAATTATGGCCATGATTGGTCAGTCTCGTGCAGATTGTAGGATCGGAGCAACCATTTCAACAGTTTCTTTGTTCAGTCATTGCACCATATGCAAATAACAAATGGCCCCACTCAGTCTTAATTGTGATGGCTTTCAAGCTGCCGGTTTCTTGTAGACACTGATTTCTCTGCGGGTTGCCTACAAAGTAGCTACAGAATGTTAAGTAGCATCTCATTTTCGCTGGTATCATGGTCATTTGTTGCAAGATAACCACGCTAAACAAATACAGCAGAAGCAGTTGCTCATCAGACTGCAGCCTGTCATCCACACTGACATGAAACAGATGTATAATTTGTCAATGTGTAGTCCAGCCATTGCTGCAGGGGTGGACATGTTTTTGAGAGTGTGGGCACTGCCTTGTGTGCTTCCGTGTTTAAGAATGGCAGCCCAGCGCCAACCTCTTAAAGAAATTATTATTTCTGTTTCCAAAAACCCAAAGATCCAGATGCAAGTGGGGCTGAAGCGAGAATTATGGTAAACTGAAGAGACTCTTGTCCTTGTACTGCTGGAACTATGGCCTGACTGTGAACACAGGGTCTAGTTAACCTATTACTCTGCCTTCGGTGGACAGGACATGCGCTTTTCTGCCTTGATGTAATGCTGCCAATACAGGGAATTTTCTGCATATTCTAAGATCGCACAGCTCCAATTTTGTCTCTTCAGAATCACAGACACATCAGGAAGTAAATAACTTTTCAATGCAAATAAATCTTGAATGTGTTTTTGCGCTTTGCTATTTATAAGTCAAGTATGTAGCAGTTTAAAAATACCTGTAATATATACTGCTCTTCTGAGGTAATGTTTGTCACGATCATTTAACATTAAATCTGGGTTTATTTGCCCGTTGTATTTCTGTTACTTCCTAGCGTTTAGTACTAGATAGCAATGCTCCGTGGAGTGGTACCTGCTGGCGCGTCTGGTTACACCGGGAAATGCGGTTGAGATTGAAGGCAGTTGTCAGACAGCACCAGAAACTGTAAGATAATCCCCAAAAAACAATGCGGGCTGGTTACGGCTGCAGGAGGGCTGCTTGTGACCCCTGCTGGAGACAGTCCCTCCGTCCTGCCCCGATCTCTGCTGAATGGAGCCGACAGCCATGATTAAGGGTTGCTGTGTACTTTTCCTCTCCCCGTATAACGGGGGGGGGGGGCAGTGACGTCTGACTGCAGTGCTGTCCTCAGCCCCTGCTGCCCTTGTCTGTGTAATTCAATGGCGTAGTGAACGTGGAGATCAGGGGCCCCCAGGTCTGAATCTGTGCTCAGATTCTCCACTAATATCCATATTGGCGGAGCCTAGTTGTGTAAAGGAAATCACTTGGTTAAAATATCAGTATACAATGATCTCAAAGCACCAGCTTGTGGGATCCTGGTATTTTCTTTTCTAGCGGAATCATACTGTATAATGTGCCAATGCCCTAAGGTGCTATATCCAGCCAGCACACATTGCCGGAAATGGGTGAAATTTCTCATTGCTGCTGTAGCTGGTGTTTATCAGACTTGCTGGATGGCTGGAAATGCTGCTTGGCTACTCGCCAGTGCTTGTCTATGTGTGCACTAAGTGACAATGCCCATAGTTCCCCTGCTTTGACTAATGAGCCCTTCTGCTCCCGCAGGTCCTGTAGTCTATGTCCTTGATCTGGCCGACCGCCTCATCTCGAAAGCGTGCCCCTTTGCCGCAGCTGGGATCATGGTGGGCTCCATTTACTGGACCGCAGTCACTTACGGTGCTGTAACAGTCATGCAGGTCAGAACCAAGTGCTGTTGTTCCATCAAATAGTCGATCGACCTCCGTCACTTAAGCTGAAGTGAGCCCGATGCGTCCGTGATGACATGTCCAACGCCGTGACCTCATTGCCCAGGTGGTGGGCCACAAGGAGGGCCTGGACGTCATGGAGCGGGCTGACCCCCTCTTCCTTCTCATCGGCCTGCCCACCATCCCGGTCATGCTCATCCTGGGCAAGATGATTCGCTGGGAGGATTACGTGCTGCGGCTGTGGCGCAAGTACTCCACCAAGCTGCAGATCCTCAACAGCATCTTTCCCGGTGGGTCGTCAGCCCTCCCCAGCTCCTGACTTCCGCACAACCCAGCAGTACACATCTCAGACCTGGGGTGACTTCCAAGCTCTGTAGAACCAAGTTATTTAAAACTTTGGCCGGAACTTGATTTGAAACTTGAAGTCCTACTTAAACTAAAGGCCCAGCCTTAACTGGACTGGCCCGTCCTTGGCATATTATCAGTAACTTGTTTTTAAGAGATTGTCTTTGGAAAAACCGGAAATTTGGCCTAGATTTTCTGAAGACGCATCTTGGAAGAGAACGTGCTTTATAAATGGCAAGTCTATTTGGGTGTGTCACCTAAGCAGTTAATATATGAAATGTTAAGGGGAGACAAAGGTGAGAATCAAGCAAATATTACTGAAGAATAAGATTTGCCCTGATATAGGTGATCACAGAGTCTGTAGTAGAGTCTGATCACATTACTGAAAAATGTTTTTCAAGCCAGAAATACATTATCTTGAAGTATTTAGAGGGTTTTTTTCCTTAAATGCACAGAGGTTCTTTGCTGCCTGGTTGGTCCTGCCTCTGCCAGCCCTGTGGCCATTTTTTCCACTGACTTCATCAATAAGCAAGGGGATTGATGTTGGAGAAACCGGATCCAGGTCTTGGTTGGAACCTGTTTTAAACTCATGACCTTTCTGAGCACAAGCTCAGCTTGCTGGCCCCGGGAGTTTGAGGCTAGCCGTGTTTTCTGCTGCGATGGGGGGGGGGGGGGGGGGAAGGCCCATCTGACTTGCGGATTAGGTCGGGTTACTGCAGCGCATGCATGCGGAAACAGGCACACATGCATTCATCTTTGTGGGAACTTCCCATTGACCTTTAAGGCAATGAATGGCTTTAAAAAAAGTTTCATGAGTTAAAACAAAGCCCTCAGTTTGAACTCGTACTCTTAAATGCCTTAATTTTTCACAAACGTTAACTTCGTGTTTGTATTGCAAAAATAGCAAAACCATCATTTGATCATGTTTTTTAACCCATTTTATTGTGGCGACATCCTAAAGTTCCGTCCTGTATCCCTGCAGGGATTGGCTGCCCCGTGCCTCGCATCCCAGCCGAAGCGAGCCCCCTGGCCGACCACGTGTCGGCCACGCGTATCCTGTGCGGTGCACTTGTCTTTCCCACCATCGCTACCATTGTGGGCAAGCTCATGTTCAGCAGTGTCAATTCCAATCTACAGAGGACCATTCTGGTAGGTTGAAATGTTCTCAGTCACAGGAAGTACACTGAGTTCTTCACTCCATTATATGCCATTTGTCGGCTAATTCATCTACAGAAATCCATGATGATTTTATGCCTGGCGAATGTCACTGGGCGACAGTACAGTTAACTGCGTCTTTGTAAAGGGGGTTTAGTGCTGATTTTACCCTGATGCTTTATTTGACATTAGCATTTTCCCTTATTTGTTGGCATGCTAAGTACACACACCAAGTCGATAGCCCTTTCAAGGTCAAAATGACAGGTGAAGTGCTTAGTCATACTGTGTCATCGAGTTGTAATTCTCTCCGAGAGCATGACACGGTGGCTCGGTCTTGCCCATTTTTAAATATTACCCATGATGTAAAACGCTTCATTTTGCGCCCCTGGAGACGAGTGAGAGTGATGATTGATTGGCTGCCCATCTGCCGCCTCCCCAGGGTGGCATAGCGTTCGTGGCCATCAAAGGGGCGTTCAAGGTGTACTTCAAGCAGCAGCAGTACCTGCGGCAGGCCCACCGCAAGATTCTCAACTTTCCTGAGCAAGAGGAGCCCTAGTGGGAGCTGGATGAGCTGGGTGCAGACTGGCCCAGCTGTACAGACTGCTGATCAGGAACGGCCCATCCATCCGCTGGTCCAGTGTCTCATCTATGGAATTGCTGTATGCTGCTGGTACCTTTATGTATAAGATCATTATGAGTGCATTTTAAAAACAATATCGGGGCTCAAAAGACACACAATTTGGGAGACTTTTCTTTTTCCTATGAATGTGACTGCTGGAATTGTTGGTGCTGCATTTGAAAAGCCCGACACCAACTGTTATGTAAGATTTCCTTTTAAACTACATAACCAGCACATGTAGTATTTTTTAAAGTTAGCTGGATGGAATGTGTCATAGTTGGGGATAATTTTATTCTAAAATTTTATGTTTTTGTGGTGGTCTGAGCTTTGGAGATGGATTATGCCATCTGTTGGTATGTGTCCAAAACATTTAAGGAACATTTAGTGAATTATTCTGGATCGTCGTCTCTCAGTGGTAAAATGTAAACTTCTTTTGGTAGTTCTCATGTTTAAAATTGTTTTGGTCATTTAGTGTGATGCAAAGCACCTGCTCAAATAACCGACCGGACAGAGAAGTCATTGCTGGATAGTTGGGTGATGCTTGGAGGTGAAGAACAGCACAAAAACGGCCCCCATTCTGGACTTTATTCTTCATTAGCTGAGCCCCAGACTTCACGCGTGACTGGATTAACAATAGTCAAGCCATGTGACAGTACTGACAGTACTTTGTTAGTGTAGACACCCCATATATAGCAGTAAGTCCGTGGCACTGCAAACAAATTTTGGCCTTTTAATTTTGGTTTTGTTAAACCACTCTCCACTGAAGTTTTGCAATATTTATACATAACTCACACGTAACACTAGGTTAAATGAAATGTTAGTATTTGTTTCCTTAAGGTGTTTTTTTATTTTCTTTGATTTTGTATACAGTACATTTTTGCACATGCCTTGAAGTGTTAAAATCGATCATTGTTTTGCAGCCACCAGTCGTTGTTACAGAGATTGTGGTTGTTCTATGATGGACACTCTGTGATGGTAAAACACTGGAGCCAAGAACTCCACTCCCAGGATTCTGCAACACAGTGCTTAGTCATGTGCTTCAGCCCAGCAGTTTCATGGGATGAACCACTTGGACTTTTATTGCCATATGAAAGGACGTTACCACATAGAAATGGGGTAACATGCCGTACCCATCTGCCAATAGGTCTTTGCCGTTTTAGGCTGGCTTTTAGCTCCGCGGACATTTAGAACACTGAGGAGTGGAATATCCTGGGTCATTTCTGCATTTTTGTGTAGACGACTCAAATGGTGGCAACTATTCCAGTTGTTGACCATGAAGGTTCTGTGCATAACGTCCAATCTTCTCGTCTCCATTCCAGCTGGAGGGAACTACTGGTTAGTGTTCTCTCTATTCACATAGTCAAGTTTTGAGATTGAGCCAAATATCGAGGGAAATTACTCTTAATTTCCTAGTAGAAACATCAGTATACATGGTCAAAAATTTGTGAAAGAGAAATTAATTGAATGATCAAATGCTTTTCAGCGCATTATGCAACAGAGGCCATATTTATTAGTACTGTGCCTGACCGTAATTCAGCTGGAGCTTAATCTCGTAACCCCTTTGATACCACAAAGGAAGGCGCTTCATCGCAGGGCACTTTCTATTGGCTATGATGGTGGTCTGTAGGTGGGGTCCTGTCTTCTATGGCTCTGTCCCCCTGACACAAATGGTTGTGGGTTTAAGTTGGTGCAGTGGTTTGTTTTTTTTAGCTCTGTAAACTGCATCCTTTTGTTTATACCAGCTCAGATGCGCTGAAGTTAGTTCATGCTCTTAAAAATTGTGGTACCCTTGCTATGTAATTGAAATGGTATTTCTCACTGCACAGGGATCTGCAAACATGAACTTGTTTTGTGACTTATGCCAAATGTGATATTGTAAAAACAAATGTATTGATTGTACAGATTGCTTTTGAATTTATAGTTTTTGTTTAATTGTGAATAAATGTATTTTTCCACTGCTAAATAAATGGTAGTTTAGTGTGAATCTCTTATTGGTCAATCCATGTCATTTGTTGTCTTGTAGACAGACATATCGGTGCTTTCAAATAAGTTCACACATTCACTGGCATTTAATGTAACAATTTGTAATTTCCTTATGGTGCAATTCAGCTTTTTTGCCTATAGCAAGCCATTCCTTTCTAAATCATGCCAGAAACAATATTTTCAAATAGGACATTTTATAGAGCATTATGTTATAACCTAACACTTCATACCGACAGACATGTTTACTTTTGTTAAACAGTTTCAGGGGCTGGACAAGCAAAATGTGACCATATTCATTGGACCATTTTAACAATCTACCTATACACAGGTAATATAGTACAAAGCAATATGGGAAGAGCTTAAACAGGAAACGCTGAAGCCTCACTTCACATCAGCTGTGCAACCATGAACAGTCAACTAGTAAAATCAAAGAATCAACAGCAGCTGCCCCCCCCCCATGTGTGCAGTCATGCCTGGGTATGTAAATTTGGCTAATATATTACACTGCAAGATGTGTGGATTTTTTTTTTCCTTTAATGAACAATAAATCAGATGGAATTTTGAAAAATATATACTTTTAGAATTGTTACATTCCCAACTGTTCCCTGGCTTGCTACAGCTGTGTCCAAATTCAAGGGGTGTATTCGCCTTAGGCTGCATTTGAAGACCGAGTGTGTCACAGTGGTACAACAAGGCCGTCACATTTAAGGCTCCTTCCAATGCGGTCTAGGAATGCGTCCTTTTGCTGAGTTTTGAAGGATCCACCCGTTGGATCCTACGGAGTCCAACATATCCCAAGATTCATTGCACGGACCTTTGAAGGACACAGCCTACAAAGGCTACATAGACGGCGGCGTCCGAAGGATGCAGCCCTGAATTCGAACGCAACCTAACAAGCACCACCACCTGTCTAATGTACTGCTGGTAAGGTGCAGGTCGCCAACCCAAGTTTCTTTACCTGCTACACAATTCACATTGGTGCTATGTAGTAGGAAAACCGACTGCTTTGAATTGCAGCGTTTGTTTAGCATTATTACATAAAACTGGAAGGTGCACCGTGTTTATCAGGGGGGATGTTAAACGCCTGAGATTGTACTACTTATTGGTTAAGTACTAAATATCATTACTAAATAGCATTTTGTTGAACACTTGGATAAGCAATGAATGATCAGAAAAATCTGATCTGAAATATTTGGAAAACAATAGAATATATACAGTGTATATGTATTTATTTATTTTTACTCTGTAGAAAATGCAGCATTAGTTATGTCTAAGGAGCCTGAGAGCAAAACGATCAAAGACCTACATAAAAAAAAAAAAAAAAAACTTACTTCGATAGCCAACTTAACCAAGCCAAAAAAAAAGCAGGTAAGAGTTTGTCGAGCCCTGAGAGATCAGGCCAGTGCAGTTGTGGAGTCCTGTGCATTTGCACACCGACACCAAGTGATTTAATCCTGCAGTCTGGTTCAATACAGGCAGTCTCCTCATTTGAGTCCACAAGTAAAAGCAAACAATGCAAAGGTGGTGTGAGTTTTACATCCTGCACCTGGACACAGTGCAGTGTTCAATCCTTATAAGTACAGGCAAATATAAGAATGTTTAAAATGTTTTATTTTGATTTTGATTTTCAAATAAAAACGAGCCCAGATGTGCATAGCCCTGAGAACAAGCCATGAAGACGGAAACAGTGGTTAAAGGGAGGATCAAATCCATCTCATCTGGTAGGCAGTTTAAAACCAGCTTCTCAGAAGGGTGCCAACACTCTGTTTAAATAAAAATCAGTCTGCCTTCAAAGCTTGTACAAAGATTTTAAAAACCTCCATAAAGGCTGCTACAGAATGATCTTCCATTTTACTTTGCATGAATATATTTGTAATAATGAAAGGGATTTGAAATGAACACATTTACCATGCCTAACAGTCATAAATATACAAAACCCAAAAAAATGGGGAACAAAAAACAAAAAAATCCGAAAGTCCAGCACTCCTGAAATTGTCCCTCTATCCCTCAAACAAGCCTTCTAAAATCACACGACAGCTTTACAGCACTACAAAACAATAGCTAAATCTCACCAAAGCAGCTTCTTCCTGCATGCTGCACGTCAATAACACCCACCAGCCCTAACCAATCAACTGGACAATGACATTGATTCCAAGCTTAGTATTCATTTGTCCTCCTCTGTATCACCCTATGTGCACTTTAGTTCTAAAGACGACTCTTTAAAATGACACCTGTGTGGCTATATTTTGTCAAATTCATGATAGTGGTCAGACGAGCGGCCTTCCCCGCCATACACTCAGACGGGGGCCTTCTTGCATTCCGGGGGCCTCTGTTCGCAGCGGGGTGAGACGTGAGCGGGGGGACGACTCTTTCACAGTTTGGCGGCCATGAAGTTGATATGCGGCTTGGCCAGCGGGAAGAGCGGCAGGCTCCGCTTGAACTCCGTCATGTCCTGCACCAGGATGGGCTGCCACCAGAACACACACCGACGGTCTGATTAAACACTCATCTCTAATCTAATGTTTGTTTTCCATACAGCTAAGAGGCAGTTTGTTGAATCCCCCCATTCCAAAATATATACATAAAGACACAAAGTGTAAGTGGCCCATAAATTACCTGAGGCAGGGAGGGGGCTGGGGCCAGGTTAACGTCGTTTTGGCACGGGAACTCCCCCACCACAGGACCTGGAATGCAGACGAAGAGGACAGAATGTCCAAAGGTGACTTTACTAAATTTGAAATATCGCTTATAACAAAGGTAAAATACTCATTAATGGATTCTGCCTATAAAGATGCAGGGGATAAAAAGAGACGAGTTGGCTGTTAATCAAGTAAAACATACCAATGAAGCAGAAAAAGGCCCCAATTACTTGATAGAATGGTTCTGGCATTATTCTCCTATAAACAACCCCCTCACTAACATTTTCATTTAATCACTTATTTGACATTTTAGCCAAAGCCATCATTTCCTATTTTTGCAGTCAGATTTTTTATTTTTTTTTACTAGTACAACCCATCTGCTGTGAGCCAGCCACATTCATTAGGGTATGCTCTTCTGCAATCCATTGTTCTACTTCTACGATCCTTGGCTGTACCCCCTCTTGCCCCCCAGGAGAGTGCATCTGCCCCAAGCCCACTCACAGGAGTCCATCTCGCGGGAAAGCACATGCACAGAAACCTTGTGTCTCTTGGGTGCATCTACAGCCAGCAGATCCTGTGGGGGGGAAAGGGCACCAGGGGTGGGGGGGGGGTGGGGGGTATCAAGTTAAGTGATCTACCAAAGTGACTTTTTACAAGCATTATTCCATAGTGAATTCAGCCTAGGGGGGGAGGAGCATGGTCTGGAAATGCACCACACAGCCTGAGAGGGACAAAGTGAATGACCTGCTGACAGCTGAAAACTCATTACTTCCATCTTACATCATTCCAGTTGTACCTCCTAAGGACAGTAAATACACCATTTCCATCCAAAAAGTGTTCCATTCTAGTCAGCAACTAAGTGCTCCTTATACACTCAAAATTAAATCTTTGTATTCTTGGTATCATCTGTTGCCAGGTAGATAGATAGAGAGAGAGACACACACACCCAACCAGGCAACAGTTACAGAAAAGTGCAACAGTGCTGTTAAGGTGAGGAAACATTTATATTAAGAATCATTGCCGTGCCGTCATCAGCAACACCTTGGCAGCTATTAATAGGCGTTGGCACAAAAGACGTGACGAGGGAACGGAACGAGGTGTCAGTTTAATTACTCTAAGAAAGGGCAGGATAAATGAGAGACATAGACATACACACAAGGAAAAACAGTGAGATCATTCTACATGGAGACACATGGTTGAAAATAAAAGAGGTCATTTAAGGTATGCACTGTGACTGACTTCACTGTAACGTCACTCTTCTAAAACACACATTTCTAAGATTACTATTATGTTTCTTTGAACAAATAAACAAATAAAATATATACAAGTCATGGTAACGTTAAGCCTACTTACCCTGTAAAACTGCATTATATCTTCTTTACTTAATGTCTTCAAATAGGCAACTTCAATATTATCTGCAATAAATGAGGGCATCATTGGGATAAACTTAGTATCTGTGACTTTTTTCATTCATAATAAGCTACAGTAAAACACAAGTGGCCTGAAGTTGACTGAAAGCATTTATTACTTTGTATAAACCTACACTTACTGGGGAATATTGCGTGATACTGGTCACTGGCAGCACTAAGGTCTGGAATTACCTTTAACAAATGAGTAAACAACTTGTTTTATGGCTGTCACCTTATTTTAACTGCATTCGCATAATAAGTGGTGTATTCTTAATGGAACTCCAAGACGTTTTCCCTTAGGTGAAATTCTGCCACAGTGGAGTATTTTCCATTGTTAATTGACACTGTCTGGCACCTTGGAAATCAATAACCCCAAGGAATTAAAACTGTATATGTGGTGCAAAAAGTTTTTTTGGGAGAAAATACACACACAGTTTATGAAAGGAAAAATTAAATTATATGTATATATTGCCTCTCTAAAAAAAAAAATCACTGATGGTATATATCTAGTTTCTCATAACTAAGACAAAAGAAGACAAGCTATTTTTATCAGCCAACAACCACAATGTCTGAGGGCTGCTATACATATCGCCTTCAACTGGTCTGATGGAAACCATGGTGTAAAGAAAGGAGCCAGAGAGACCTATTCAAACAAACAAATAAGGAAGAGAAACTGCAGGCAGCCCCAAGCAGCAAGGTACGTGTCCCTGTGTCCCCGATGCCGTTTAAGCCAAGCGCTAGTTGGGCATTTTCACTTAACCAGTTCCTTTTTAGGAAGCTCCAGAAGAGGCAGACGCACACTAGCCCAGCTTTACGTGGCACCTTTGCCAGGAGATGTTCATCAGGGATTAGGCAGTCAGAGCAGCGTCAGCACTCTGATGAAACATTTAACACGCGCACCCCCCCCCCCCCCCCCCCCCCAGCCAATGACTCCACCATCACCCACACCCCTCAATA